AAAATTTTAGGAAATGATTCTTTGTCGAAAATTAAGGGGCATTTTTCATATAAACATATACTCTTACGTCCCTCCCTGTGGAGTTACATTCTTCCAAAAATGGGAGTAAAAATTAGATTTTTATTTTTTTCTCAAATTTGGAACAAGTTAAAGAAATAAAATTAAGTGGATATTTTCTACTAGTAAAAAGGTTATTTAGTAATATTTGTTTCAATCTGCCCGTATTGTTATAAGGGAATGAAATTAGCAACCCGTATTCAATTTTTTATTAGAACTTTTTAATGGGCCGGAATATGACTACCTAAAAATATGTATTAAAAAGTTTGATTTATTTAGAAACTATTTTATTTCTTTTATTTTTTCAAATGAGTAGTTTATAAGAAAAAAAAAATAAAATACGTTATCGTGCACAACACGATGCTAAATAGCATAGGTTTCGAATTACGAGAAGTTAAATTTTAAAATAAAAATCAAATTAGAATAAATGTTGGAAAAATTGGAACAAAAACAAAATTATAATAAAAACCTAAAAAATAAAAAACTAATTTTTACCTCCATTTTTGGAGGAGTGTAACTGTCCACAGGAAAGGATATAAGAGTATATGTTTGAACAACCCTCCCTTAATTTTCGACAAAGAATCATCTAAAATTTTTCGTACTTATTAAGAAACACCCTGTATATGTATTTAAGTCTATCCTCAATTTGTCTTAAGTACATTCAACACACACGCGTTTAAACGACGCTTTCAAATATCTCTTAAACTTTGTCCTTTAAATATCTTTCTAACGTGTCTGTGGATTTCGATTGCGAAACTAATCTCTTAAATTAATAAAAATTGTTACTGTCGGTCGACCTCCCTGCGACGCGTATCGTGATTCACAAGTTTGAGACATTTAACGGATTTAAAGCTTTCGCGACAGGATTAAAGGTTACCCGAGGTTCAAGGGTCGAACGGTGGAGCCGAGTGCTACCCTCGTAGCATTAATTCAACACGACTATCTTGGATACTGTGACGCCGCGTACGGGCGTTATTTTATTTTGTAAAATCTCCGAGCAATAAATCTAATGCGTTTTTACGCTTTAGCTGTCCGCTTAATAAATTGTATCCTCGTAACGACGAGAATCTTTCCATCATCTCGAGCACGAAAGCGTTCCTCGAGCTTTCCGTCATCTCTTTCTCTATCCACTCTCTCTTTATTTCGATAATTAAATCTCTCTTCTACATTGTCCGCGATCAAAGCCCAAGGCGTCTCTCGCCTATTAAAGGAATAATAAAACACCGGACAACTTTTAATTTATATAATTTACAAAAAGAAGTCAAGAGACTGTTTCTTGCTAAGATAGTGGGCATTCATCGATTTAAAAATATCGCGATTTATATATTTTCTCCCTCTTCTTTTGTAATACCCTCTTTTTTACAAATACTCTATTTTAAATATAAGAAAAAATGCAGTATTTTTTTAAGATTATTAATTTAAGGTTATTAAGGTTATTAATTTTTTTTTTAAGATTATAATATTTTTTTAAGATTATATACCTCACCATTCCAAGCTTAAAATATCTAAATAAGATTACACGAATGATAACTTTTTCATACTTAACATGGCAGACAAAATTCGTTGATGCGAAAGGTTGCTTCAGATTCTCCCGCGTTATATATTTATCCCGATAATCGCATCGTCGTGTCGCCTACCGCTGCTTATCCTCCGAAAACTGCCGTAATCTGGATCAAAGCCCTTGCAGGAACGTGCAGACCGGCTCGAGGAGCAATTCCTCTTGCCAAACTGACGGGCGAACGTACGAGATTTCCTCGCTCGACTCGTTCTCACCTTCTCTCCCTATTCCCTCTGATCATGTTCAACATCTGCCTCTTTTTCTCCGCGCGTGTGAACGAGAACTGCGGGTCTGGTCAGGTCCCGAAGAAAAACCAGGTTCATTGCGACTGGTGGCTCGTATCCACGATTTATCCAGTCGCGAATTGCCTTCGCGGAGATCGGGGCCGATCTAATTTCGCACGCGACCCCGACGAGGAAGCTCGGGGGCTTTCTATCTCCAGCTGATGGTCGATCTCGTATCTGGTCAATCTCTATCTTTCTGTTCTAGCTCCGACAATGTGAGTTTCGCCCGGCAGATTTTTCAACCGTTGAAAAAAACACGAAAGAAGAATTCATGAGATCTAAGAATATTTTTTTTTTCAAGTATTTATTTTTGCGACAACGATTACATTTTTCTCCAATTTTATTTGTCTGAAAAACGATGCTCCAATAATATCAGTCTGATTTTTTTCCAATTTATTATTCGCTTGATATTTTAATCGTAAATAATTACAATAATATTTTCGATAAAGTTATCGTTTAACAAAATATATTGCATCGTTAAATGTTTGTACCTCTTTGGCGAGAGAGAACAAATTATCTTACGCATCATTTTGCTCGATTTAAATTCAACACGGTGCATTTCGTTCATGAGAAGTTTCCTCTTTCCGTTTTAACTTCAACTTTCCTTCTTATAGTTCTTAACTATGACATTCGGATAAAAACGCGAGACATAAAAATGGCTATAAAATGATATTTGATATGAGTCTGTGGAATCTGCCTTTTTTGCCGCCTCTGTCTTTGTTCTCGCAAAATATTTCTCTCGCAATTACATTCGCATAAAATGCAATGACTATTTCATGATAAAGCAAACGTGTTTCCCCGAGTGTCATCCCTGCAAACATTATTTTACAATGTGGTCGAACGATACGTGATGTCCCTTCTCTCCACAAAATATCATTTATTTTGTTTACGGGAGCAATTCGCGTAAAAATCCATGTATTTTGCGATAGAGAAAGAGGAGGAAAGGGCAGAGGGGAGAAACAGAAAAGGGAGAATACATCGTTTTACAACTAAACATCGCAATCTTTTCATGATAACCGATAATTTATGTCGTTACATATCAGAAGTATGTTTTCCCTCCATGTCACTTTATTTATATAAATTTTTAAGGCGAAAACGATTGAACATAATAGCCAAAAATATTTCGATAATATCTATCGTTAATGTATGTTCGCATTCCGACTTTCTAAATTTACCCGCATTTGAGAATTTCGAATATCCCCCGATAATTGTAGCAATTATAATTAGAACGTTTCTCTCTATATATATATACTACCTAACATAATAACCGTTTGCAATATGGGACGGATACTGAATGGCGTGAGGATCGGTAAAATCCATTCCGCGTAATCCGTCATGTCTGCATTTATCCATCATTAATTCAGTTGCGATTTTAATTGACAGAACAGTTACTCTGCTCGCTCGCTCGCTCACTCTCTCGCTCGTGGCTTGCATATTGTTTATATTATCGATTTTGCAGAACATCAGCGACCAGGTGATGAGCGCGGCTTACCCGTGTCTATGTGAATGACGCAATGATAACTATGCTTGTCTGTATCGATAAACTGGGGAATGCATATCGTTAAAGCAAAGCTGAAATTTCGGAAACCCTATTAGATAGCATTGAATTATAATGTAATCGTGCAGAAATAACGAATGAAAAATTCAAAGCTTCTTTTCATGCCTTAAACGCGTAAAGGAATCTCTTTCAGAGAGTTTTTGCAATATATCAATTATTTTCTCTTTAATCTACTCTCCTCTTCTCTTAAATAATATTTAAGAAAACCTTGCCATCTTTTAATAATAATCGATTGAAATTTTATTTCTCAATTAGAAAAAATTATATTTTTCTGTTGTTTAAATTTTTGAAGATTTTTTTATTAAAAGATGCACAAAGTTTAATATAAAAAGACTTTGAAAATGTTAAAGAGAAATTTCTTTTGTATAAGTTAGCTACGTTATTTAGAAAATATAATAACCTTCCTCCTCTTTAATTCTTTTTTATATCCAAGTTGTTAGCAGATATTATTAATCTCGCTGATTTTCATCAAATGTAGAGCAAATTACCCTCATTATTATTTGGCCGTAGGGGATTTTATGATATTTTCCTCTGGTGTATAATGGTAATTTAACCCGCGCGCGTGTCACGTACGGGGTGCTGTAAACATTTAGTACGAGACAGCTAATCAGCTGATTCGTATCTTTTTTCGAATTGGGAACCTACATGAAGATGAGTTGGAAACTTGCCCACGTTCATGTTGTTCAAAATATGTATTTCTCAAATTGACCCTGTTTCACTCAAATAAATGACGCAATCACGCGATTCATTAAGTTTCTTCTCCTCTTTACCGAGGGAATTTTGTGATATAGGTGCCCCGTTTCTCGTGTAACAAATGTTAATATCGAATAACTTTCATGTTTACGATGTTATTCGTCCTTGCAAATTCGATTTCGCAGCAAAGTAGCAAGTAGTTTATTAACACATGATAGAATGTACATATTAATGACACGAGAGTCCTAGGATCTTTGTGACCCATCTTGCGCGATTCCCGAAATTCTCGAGTCTCTTTTTATCAGGCACAGTGTATCGAAAGGAGCACAACTTAAATTGCGATTAAATCGTTGCTAATTTTAAATAACTCGCTTCTCGCGCAAAGTTAATGGACACTTAAAAATTTCAATCTCATTCGTGACGCTTAATCTCCGTCCGGTATCGGTCGAGTAACCGACCTCAAAAGCGCCACATTAAATGTTTATTGTTCATCTAGGCTCAAAGGATCGCTCATGTAGTCGTCCGGCTAGTTTCACGAGGTTAACCCTAGCGGGAGTACCGCAGAGAGGATAGACTAAAACCGGAGTCTAGTTTCGTTCGGAGGCACTCGCCGTCAACGTCCCGGTAAGTGCCCATCCCTTCTGAATATTTTAGAAAGTACGCGCGCGTATCCCTCTCTTTACCCCTCCCCCTAATTTCCTAAAACATTTTTTTTAGAATTGACTCTGCACAATTGTTTATACTTGCTTTAAGCGACATTTTAAGCGATTTCAACGTTCCCTTTGTTATATATCGTGTCGGGGTTCGCACCCAAAATTGAGGTTCCATAAATTGAAATGCAAACACTTACATCGATTTATCCGGCAAGTCGTGTTCGGCGGCCAGTCGTAGATCTTCCAACGCGAAATGATATTCTTTGAGGGTCATAAAGATCTCGGCTCTTCCCAACAGCGCCAAGGGCAATGACATACCCTGATCGACCGTCTTGTTCTTATCTGAAACAGATGTCATCAATATCGTATTATTTCGGAAAATATTGCTATTCGGCCTCTATTCGTCGATTCATCTGTCGGGTGAATAATTTATCGACCCCAATGAAGCCATGAAAATACGCAAGTCTTTCGACCGATTGATACATGTTGGTAGAACGCGGTAAACAGAATCTGCGTCAACTATTTATTCTAACTGTGCATTTGGCGCGGTGCCTATGATCGACTCGCTAAACGCGTATTTTAGAAATCCTTGTAATTTAGAGAAATTTTAAGATGTGTTTAATTTAAAAAAAAAAAAAAAAGAAAAAAAGAAAATCAAGCATATAAATACATGTATCGTTACGTCTAATAAATCATTACTTTAATATATTTAAATGAATTAATAATTAACAACTAAATTAAACAATTAACAATTAAATCAAGTATAAATAGTATTTATATCATATTATATTGTAATAAATAATAATTACACGATAATTAAACGCATCGCGTTCTAATTAGTGAAATAATGTAATTGTATTATTTTATACAAATACAAAACTACGTAAATAAACTACATAAATTCACTAATCATTCGCTAATGAGTCGTCCAAATAATTACTTTTAATCTACACAGTAAGACGCCAATATTACTGGGAGTATAATATATAATTTGTACAAAACTTTTGAAGAAAAAAAAAGTAAACAAAATATATGAAACCACGTAAAAACAAATGACATGTATAATTTTAATTTAAAAAAATGACAAATTCTAATGTTTACGCATCAGAATATTGATCATCAAGAGAGAACCATTATTCGGATAATTGGCATTTATAGCGACCTAGTTGAGGAGCACGCAGGACAGCCTGACTGAACAGCAAAAGAGCCTTGTCGTATTGGCCAACGGCAGCGAGCTGGTATCCCTCGAGTCGTCTGCGTTTAGAAATGTCGGCATCCTTGTCCCTGAAAAGGGGCTTCACCTTTGCGAGCGTGTCGACCACGACATCCCGTATTTTCGCATCGGCGAAGATCGCCCTCACCCGGTCCGCGTCGTCATCGATTCGGCCGAATATCCTAGACGTCCAGGTATCGCCCGCGATCCGCATCACGGACTCGCTGAAATCGTGGAAGAAGCCCTTCTTGCCGGAGCGCAGGGTCTCCGACGAGCAGAGAGTTCTGTAAAATTCATCGTGTTCCTGCATTCCTGGGCGCGGAAGGACTCGCGTGCCACCCCGAGGAAACCCCTTTGTGCTATGCCGCCTCCTCCTCCCGTCTCGACTCCGAGCTTCGTTAACGAGGTCCTCTGTGTATGTGCGAGTGAATCGCTTTTAGACGACTGAAATACGGTCCGTCCGTTTTTATATCGCGGATTAGTATACTCTTAGTTGTTACGATTGCACCGCTCAGTGACTTTCCTTTCTCCCCCCAGTTTATTTCGTTTTTATTTAAAGCGCAGTTGCTTCCTGTTACTTATTACCTCCTTTAATCCGTCCTCTTGTATTTATACGTCTTGAAGGAAAAATTTATCTTATGTAAAGAATTTTATCTTAATTTACCTCTCGCGATTATTATTACGTCCTTATTCGGTACGTCAGTTTTCTTAATATTCTTAGTTAATTATATTTTGATTAAATCTCGTTGCATATTTTTACTTGTACAAGAAGGAGGATTCTCCCCCCGGAATACGCAATTTCTCTCAATTTCCGTATGCGCTACAAGTGTAGCGACGACTAGAAGTCTGCCTCGTTACTTCCAAGGTTGCGTCGTCGCGTTTCCTTCGACCGATCCTGTTGAATATTACAGAAGCTAGTGTTTCGGCATTTTGTATCCGCCGTTCTCGTCGAACACGCGACCTCCTCTCGCGAACTCTCGGGATTGAGAGAAAACGGGTCCGCGACGTGAATTTACTGGGCGCATTGACCAGAATATCAAGGAGCCGCGTGCAAATATTTTGCCGAGGAAAATTTCGTTAAATCCGCGTGGTAATTTTGTACATTTCGTCGACTTCTCAGTCCGGCTAGAAGCGCGCAAGTCCGTGTTCCACGGTACTGAATCATAAAAAGCAGCGGTCCGGATCCCTGTTCTCTCGTTTCGAGAATTAAGCGACTCTATTCGCTCGTGAGAAATGGCCACTCGAGAATCCTCTATCAGAGGCGAGACCCGAATTTAAAAAAACCTTTCCCGTCAGGAACAAGTTCTTGTTCGCTAGTTAAAATCCCATATAAATATATTATATACACTCTTTTTCAACTCTTCCGCTTATATCGTTATTCTTCCTTTTATTTACGTTCCACTTTATCTCGCAAATACATTTGTATTGGCTTCGTGCCTACTTTAAATACCGTCTAATGCATTGGCCACTAATCGTTTAAATAATCACTTCACAATCTGTTTTTGCCTTGTGCAAACTTTTTGCTATTTTCTTCCCGAGTCTGCATCCTAATTTTTTTTCTTTTGGATTCTTCCCGGCGATTCACAGTTTCAAAGCACTATCGGCCGAGAGACACCCAAGTGCATACAAAATGACTGAAACGGATTACCGGTGGCGTACCGGTCTTCCCTCGACGAGTAAAACTTTAAAGATCCTCGACCGCTCTCATTCACCGCGGAAACCGCAGTACCCGGAGATGCTTCACGCCTCTCGCAGCGGCTCGATGCTTTATGAGGGGTTTACTTTATAGACACGAACGAGGTATTAGAACGAAAGACCGGTATTAGACTGAAGGCGTTGCTAGAATGCGGACGAATGGATGCAGCGAATATATATGTGGAAAGAGGGACGAGGACGGAATGCGCTTAAGAAGAGAAGCTTCTCTCTCACCTTCTCTCTCTCTCTCTCTCTCTTTCTCTCTTCCTTGCAAGCTAGAGAAATAATTTTAGACGATCTATTCCGGTCCTAAACGAGGCCTCTCTCCTCATTGCAGAGTCCTCTGGCATCGTCTATTCGCAAACGCCGACTAATCGCGAACGCCGCGAAAATTTCTCGCCGATAACGACATTCTCGATCCCACTTGTCCGACCTCTCCTCCCTGTCTACTCCTCCTAGCTCATCCTTTTTTTTTTCGCCGACGTTCCTCGTGGTCTTACCTCGCCTCTCGAGTCGACGCGGAAATCCTACCCCCGATATCGGGCTACGTCACTGCCGTTCTACCACGCAGAGCCCTATTATAGTCGAGAAAATTTATCGCCGAACGTCCTTGATCCCCCTCCCTCTTCCTTTCCATCTCCTTTTCCTCCCTATCAACCTCAATACCACCCTCTTTGCTTCTTTCTTGCAAAGGAAAATACCTGGATTCGAGTAACTCGTAAATCGAACTAGCCCGAGTAATAAAGTCATGCCGTGATGTTCTCGCGCGAGAGAGATTGCGCCTACGGAGTTTCCGCACCTTGCGATTTTTTTGCCACGGTATATCAGATAAAATCTCCTAGTTTCGTGTGTGCGAAACCACGTTTTCATGCGGGTTTTCCTCGATCGCCAAGTGAAGAAGCAGATCCGAGAGTTGGTCTCGACTATAAATCTTAATTTTTCGAATCGCGCCGACTGATGCAATTTTAATTACGCGAATCGCTGTTATTTCACTAATGTTTATTTTATTTGTATAATTTCATATTATTAAAAAAAATTATCAAAAATATAAAAATTCTTCCAATGTTGATTTTCTTTTAAACAAAATCAATCAGTCAAGATATCAGTTTTCTAATATTTATATATAAACTGATGTAAATGAAATAAACATTCTGTGTAATGAAAAATATAATTTGCAATAAAATCTTTCGCGTATACATATGTGCCAAGATAAAATGGTCTCGATGAAAAAATTAATACGGTTCTGATAATTATTCATTTTAGTTCCTCTACAATTTCTTGCGAAGCACAGACGATAGTTTTAAAAGCAAATTTGCAAAGATGGAAACATCCATCTGGCGTGAGAGAATTTGTGCACGACTCCGACGCGTTTTCCATCCTCGAAAATATAAAGTATCGATGCCGCTGCTCTGATGAAATATCGACACTTGACTTCTTGGAGTAAATGGAAGCTTTCGCGCGCGGTAACGTCATATGAAATCCCCCGGAGGATCACCGGCAGGACCGTCGGCAGTTGTATCGATTTAACGTCCGACCACGTATGCCCCGTTAGTCGTCATATGCGTGTCAGGTTCTCCCTTGCCTTATCTATTCGCAATCCCACTCATATTCTTCTTCGGAACGTATGAATTTTTCAGTATTGTCGTCGCGCGAGATTCACCTCTCCCCCTTTCCCGTCCCCTTCCCTCACGAGATCCGGAAAAGATTTTGCCGGAACAGGCGCCAAATCTCGGCATTCGCATTAAATTATTATATACAAGATTTTCCGCTTCCGTCGCGTTATTCTACGTAACGGCAGATTGTTTGAAAGCAATTTATGTTCCATTATATAAAGAAATGACCTCGTTTTTCGTCCAGTTTCGCTTGCTAGAAACCGCCCATCATGCGGTAAACAAATAACAAAATCGCGTGCAACAAACAGCAATGTCGGTGCATTAAAGATATTGAGTTAAAGATATATTTCTTCGTGTATGACACGGTTTTTTTTTTAATTTTTCCTACCGCAGTATTTTCGTTTGCGGCTGCAAACGAAAGTTTTTTCTGCCGTCTAGTTGAGTTCAACACTCCAATAGGTACAAATACTGCGGGCAATCCCTTCTTTTTTTTTTTTTAACTCGATTCTCGTGCAAACTACGGCCGTTTCTCATGCGTAGCTTTTTTAGAGAACGTTCGCTGACAACATATCTCCGCGATAATCGGGTCGATTTATGAACCAAGAAGGGAAGCGGTTACTGCCGGGGCCAAATGTTGGCAGCTTTATCGAATTCTCTCTCGTGTTCCGCACAGGAAAAGCAATGTTGAGTAGATTCATTCATTCGCTCGGTAATTAATAAATTCGTTAGCTTGCGCGCCATGTTTAATACGAGACGGCAATGTCGTTATCGCGCGTTAAGCGGGATATTCGCGTGCAATATGCGCACCAAACAAAGCATCGCATAATTCGCAGTTAAATTCCAGGGACGGTCGTTCAATTCGTATAGACGTTAAATAACATTCTTTTTTTTTTCTTTTTTCGTTGGGCGAGGTAAGCCATTTCGCGTGTTAGGGCAGAAAGACGCGGCTGATTCGCGTAATTCGAGCAAATTGCACAATAATGCCGGCGGAATATTCGCCGAGGGATCTTAATGGTATTTTTATCGACTTTCTTTCCAGCGCGACAGCGACGATCTTCGTGTGCGGTTGTCTTAAAAAACGTCGACAAGGGTCTGTCGTGACGAGAAAAAAGCCCTTTTCCCGTAGACGTATATCGCGGAATACACTTTTTTTTTTTGATAAACTATACGCTCATTTTTACATTAGTTATTCAAATTAATTTTCCTGCGTGCGTGTCCTCGTCTCTCTTAACCGTAGCTATAAAGGCACGAAATTACCATCGCACCCTGTTCGACGAAATACCTCACTTTGCCTCTGAACGTCCAGCACCGCTGACTACGTGTCATTAAATGCAAATTTCGCGCGACCAGTAGGGCAACTGGAGACCAAAGTTTAAACCGTATTTAGTGAAGCGTTCTTGACGATTAGAGGAGCGGAACGGATGTATTTCCGGGACATATGATTACCGGGATTTATCGCGGATTCGGTATTTACAAATATTTGCATGTTTCAGTGATTCCTGAAAAATGTAATGTAAAAAATAACTTGTACATGTATCTCAACGTGTGCTCGGCGAGTAAAAACCAAATAGCAAAATTGTTTTCGCGAAAAATTTATTCGTCATGGGAATTACACCGATGAACAGTTAACGACATTGTCGATATCCTCGCGCGAGCTGAGTCAATCTTAATTAACATAGATTTTCGACCCGACTACTTTCACGTGTTATTGGATCAATTCCCGCTTATGTCAACATTAAATATTAGTCATCTTTTATATGTCACGCAATCTGATCTCGAAACATATGATACCGAATGAAAACGAGTTGCATTACTCATAAATTAGGCAACAAATCAAGTCAAATGTTTGGAAAAAAAAACGATTTTAAATCTAATCGTGGATTTTCATTGAGAAAATAGGTTAGGTTATTGGAGCAATCAATCGATCAAAAAGCTTCCTTTAATGAAGACATTCTTGCTCCTTGCTCCTTTAGCAATACTTTCACCAAAACAAACTTTTATTTTATACTTTTAATTTATTTCACATGTCTAAACGCAAGATATGCGACATGTCTCCGAAATTTTACATCATCTTTTCTATTGAATAACATTTTCATGTCACTTGGCGTGCATACATCTGTCATCAGCGTATTTTATCACTCTTTCGCAATTTCTTTTTATCAATATACCACCAGTCATGTAACTGGATCTATCGAACGATATCGTACTCATGGGGTGTTACGTTACCTCACCCGACCTTCTTAACGTCTGAACGTGACCGGAGAATGCGCGTAAAACTCGTCGTGCGCAAACGGATTCTTTCTTCCTTCGTATCTACCGCGCGCTCGCGCGCGAATTTTTGTTTTCTTTCGATAAGTTGCGGATTCTTTCTCGAGAGTTTCTAATGCGTCAGCGCAAAGTCATCAATCTTGCCGCAAAGCAGCCGGAGATTCCGCCAAGCTTCTCTTTCGTAACGTTTGATAAGTCAACGCAAAAAATACGATAGAATATGCTAAATGTGCATATAAAATTGCTAACATACATCAATCTCTCTCTTTATTTCTAATCTTCATGTCCCATATTTTGAATCATATTTAATAATTAATACAGTTTATATAATAATTGATACGTCAATTTTATGTTTATACGAGAATCAATAATAATCTTTTATTTCACTTGGAATCGATTCAATTCTTTCGATAAGCATTCGTTTTTTTCTCTTATACGTTGAAATATTTTAAACAATGGCGTAAAATTGCTAGCACACATCAATCTCTCTTTTTACATTCTAATCTTCGTGTCCCATATCTCGAATCATATTTAATAATTAATACAGTTTATATAATAATTGATACGTCAATTTTATGTTTATACGAGAATCAATAATAATCTTTTATCTCACTTGGAATTGATTTAATTCTTTCAATAAATACTCGTTTTTTTCTCTTATACATTAAAATATTTTGAACAACGCTCTCTTGAATCGGGTCGAATAAGATGAGATTACCTAAGCAATTATATCGTTTAAATCGCATTCTAATCCACAATGTACAGTGATAGTTTTCGGGATTCCGACGATCTTGCAACATCCATATGTAATCCGGGTTATCCGTGGGCAGTTCCCGGATCGAAACCGTCGCGTTTCCGCAAACTAGTTTATGCCGAGAACCATGCAATAAATTATCGTGAACGGCACCACCGGGACCGCTTTTCACGATGTATTATGCGCCGGACACGCTCGCGGAAAGCACTTTACGCAAATGAGAAGAAAACGCGCCTTTCTCCCCGCCCCCGTTAAAACAGGAATCGACTTTTAAAAGACAAACCCCAAAGTTTCCCTCTCTTTTCGTTTCTCTCGACGATCGATCTTCTATTTCGTAATGTATTGCGCTTCTCATTTTCATATAAATCCAATCTTCGATGAAAGAAAGAGAGGAACAGCGCAAGTTACTCAAATTATACTCGTGTGCTTCTTATTATCCGGCTTGGAATTTAATTCTCGGAGTAGAGCAAATATCAGCATCCATCTTTCGATTTTTTGGCTCTCCCCTTTTTCGACGCATTTCATGAAAATATCGAATATTACGCGAACAATCTTTCATTCCCTCTCGGATACACGGACGTGGAGAGTAAAGTATGGTGGCGGCCGCGGAATGTAATCGCCCATGACGCGATTAGCCGCGAAAATCTTGCCGAATCATCAGGTGGTTCACCGCGCGACCGCGGCAGGACTGCGCAGTTTGCACGCGTGTTTGTCGTCGTAAGTCTAATTGTAAGCCGGTTAATTATGGCGTTTATTTGCACGCGCCCGCTCATCCTGCCTGGGCCTCGCCAAAGATCGGTAATCGTCTCTATCACGGTCGCACCTCATTAGCGGATCGACCGATAACGATATTGAATGCACGATAAACCGTCATCAATTGTCAGTGTGAATTACGCGATTCTCTCTCTCTCTTTCTCTTTCTCTCTCTTGTTACACGATTGGCAGCATTAACGAAGTCAATTAAACGCGGGAAGAGCTTCATGACTGCATTTCGCGACACAAAAGTCTTCAACGCGGTATCGGTTCTCTGCTCGCGCAGATTTAGCGAGATAATTCGATCGATCGATTCTCCCTCCTCTAACGACGGCGTCCGTGCTGCATTTCCCTTCTGGTCCTCCCCTCGTCTTCCCCTTTTGCTTGCAAAGCGCACGCCGGGCAATCTCATAAAGATGAAAGCGATTTCTCGATGTTAGCGTTTTAATTTAATCCTCTTACGCGCGGAAAACGGCGAGCAAAAATGTTTTGTGGAATGTCTTCCGATTCTCTCCGTTTCCTTCTCTCTTTATCAAGAGATTTTATGGATACGAGACGTTCAACGAGTCTCTTCGAATGTTCCCTCGATCCCGTTATGATTGTTACTTGGAAGTTGCGATATGGAATGTTCGTGGATTGTTTGGCGAAAATTCGCCGGGGCAGAATTGCTCGCTCGTTCGCTTAAATTTTATATTTTTCTCTTCATCGTTTTAATTAATCGCGCATACATATATATGCCCAGAGCCTCGATTAAGATAATGGCGACACGCGTACGAACGTTAGTCTAAATCATACGAATCATACTCGACATTAAGGTTAACGAATGTCAATTCTTTTATCTCGTCGGGGGAGCCCGCAAGTCCAAATGTTAGCCTTCTTATCAAGAGTCAATAACGTTGAAAATAATATCCCGAGCTAGACGCTTCGCATCAGCCATTTATCTCGAACCGCAAAAACTACATTCTATCCAATTCTAACAATAGAGAACCAAGTTACGGAAGTTGGTGTGCACTCGCCGAGTTTCTGTCGCGCAGCTAAGAGAAGCTACGTCGTCTCTTTCGGACGCCATAAGGCGACGAATATTACCATTATCTTTGCGAGCGAAATCGATAATCCGTTCCGCACGCAAAGACACACGAATCGGAGGAGCTTCCATGCGATTTAATTAGTCGACAACGCCGGCAAATGTCGCTCCATATCTATTATAGCAGCCGTCTATCCCAAATGATATTTGCTTATTACGCGCAAAATATGATAAATGTAACGCAAAGTACACATGTGTAAAGCAAAATTAGCGTTCAGACCAAAATGAGAATTAAAAGATGAATTTTTCCTTTCTGAATTTGACCAATTTATTCTATAAGAACTTGCATTATTACACAGTAAAAAATAAAATGTTAATTATAACATTTTTCATGTCCCAGAAAGTCCACTCTAAATTTTAAGATAACTCAATTTTAAAATAACTCATTCATCGTACATTATTTATTGATTGAAAATGTTAAATAATTGTGACGTGATACTTTACATTTATCTTTGCTTTTGGTGTAATGTAAAAATAACATACAAATTAATTAAAAATTACATGAAAAAATAGTTTCAATAACTCGTAAGAAATGTTGAAGACATTAACATATAATAGTAATTATTTTAACTTAAATTATTTGTAATAGAAACATTTGATCTTAGTAAATTTGATTATTTCTGTATGTCAAAGTTCAAGATTATTTGAAGATTTAACTTTTCCTACAATGTTAAACTGACTTTGAGACATGTTGATTATTTAAAATAATTACGATAAAAATACTCAACATAATGTTCCATTTCTAAAAGACATATACAAAGTGTTAAGTTATAAACCTGACATAAATGTAAACTCATGAAAACGTTATAAAAATAATATAGGTTGTATGTTAATTTTACATTAACATTTTACAAAAACGTATAGGTTGTATGTTAATTTTACATTAAAATACTAATCAAAACGTGACACAAAAAAATTTTAATACGGACGTATAATTTTTTACTGTGTAACTACAGATATTTGTTATCCAAGCAGAAAAAAGATGGACTGAATCCTAAGTTATTTATATAGGTATATATATATATATATATATATATATATATATATTCAGTGTTGTTTTTTATTCACTTTATGATCGTTTAGATGAGTATATGACAAACACACACGAACGAACACAACAAAAAATGCAAATGTTTTTCTTCGCGTAGGTACAGTAAAACATTCGCTATTCATCATTCATTTGTTCAGATTTATTATAGACTCGACACATCCTGCCACAAAACGCTGAGGGAATGCCCGAACTAATATTATTTGAGCAGGAAATGGAGCCATTACTTTGCCATATAACCGGCGCGATTTTCATAGAAATGTAAATTCGCGTAATTTCGCAAAACGACCGCGGTTCACGATTTCTTTATTCCATGCGCAATCGACTCATGCACTTGAACCGCAACGAGATCCGCTGTTGTTAATATTTCAAGTTTAACCTCGCAATTATCTTAACAGCGTGTTAAGGTAGTCTCTCGTCTTTTCTTTTTGCCCTGTGCCCTTTTTTTAAGGTTTCTACATATATCCCCGAGGTAACAGCGGCGATATAAATGTTTCACGATGTCGCCTGCGGAATCTCTCGTTCGCCGCAAAATTTGATTAACGAATCCCTGAATTTTCTCTCGGAGGGACATCAGCGTACCTATCTGAAGTTTCGTATGACATCTCTCCGACGAATTATTAATGACGCCGTAGGATTACCGCCTGCATTTCACGATTCCCCCCCCCCCCCGCACGTCGGTCGCTTATATTGAGATTCATTCGTTGCATCGCGTCAGGCGATACGTCCATTTTACGCGTTTTATTCCATGGAGACCGCTCGAAGACGAGAGATTCGCGATTCTCGGATAGGAACGGATACATATATACGTGCGCGTCATTTCACGTAAATTATAATTCCATCGACGTTTTGCGCGAAATAAAATTATGAGCCGCGCGCACGATGTATTCTGAGGCGCGCGCGTTATCGATCGGATGCGTTGCAACTGGCGCTAATTGCAATTGACGATTAATAATTAACGCATACGTCCATAATCCGCCGCGAAATAATGTATCGCTCTCCACGCTTCGACGTGCGCGCAACGGCCGGTGCGACAAAAAATTTACGATGGCACGATATTACGTTCCGACAACGAAACCATCGGCTGGAATAACGCTGCGTCATTTTGGAATGCATAGCATTAGGAACCGATACTCGACGTAATCTCTCTCTCTCTCTCTCTCTCTCTCTCTCTCTCTCTCTCTCTCTCTCTCTCTCTCTCTCTCTCTCTCTCTCTCTCTCTCTCTCTCTCTCTCTCTCTTCTCCTCTCTCTCTCTGTCTTTCTCTCTCTCTTTCTTCTCTCTTTCTCTTTCTCTCTCTCTCTCTCTCTCTCTCTCTCTCTCTCTCTCTCTCTCTCTCTCTCTCTCTCTCTCTCTCTCTCTCTCTCTCTCTCTCTCTCTCTTCTCTCTCTCTCTTCTCTCCTCTCTCTCTCTCTCTCTCTCTCTCTCTCTTCTCTCTCTCTCTCTCTCTCTCTCTCTCTCTCTTTCTCTCTCTCTCTCTCTCTCTCTCTCCCTTCTCTCTCTCTCTCTCATCTCTTCTCTCTCTCTCTCTCTCTCTCTCTCTCTCTCTCTCTCTCTCTCTCTCTCTTCTCTCCTCTCTCTCTCTTCTCTCTCTCTCTCTCTCTCTCTCTCCCTCTCTCTCCTCTCTCTCTCTCTCTCTCTCTCCTCTCTCTCTCTTCTTCTCTCTCTCTCTCTCTCTTCTCTCTCTCTCTCTCTCTCTCTCTCTCTCTCTCTCTCTCTCTCTCTCTCTCTCTCTCTCCTCTCTCTCTTCTCTCTCTCTCTTCTCTCTTCTCTCTCTCTCTCTCTCTCTCTAGCACGCCGGCTCGGGCGGCGGCGGCGGCGACGGCGGCGGCAGCGGCGGCGGTGGCGGCGGCGGCGGCGGGGGCGGGGGCGGCGGTGGCGGCGGCGGCGGGCGGCCGCGCGACGTCTCGCAGTAGGCGACGCGATCTCGACCCGTCAGGATCGCGCGGCGGACTCGGACGCGACGTAGCGGGATCATGCCGGTCTCCAGACACACGACAGCGGCCTCGGCGAATTAAAAAGTCGAGGGAAACGAAACTGGCGCGGCGCACTTTTACGGCGGCCCGCGGTCGGAAGTGCGCGACATCCTTGGGAGGATGACACAGTTGCGCCGTGAGAAAAAACGCGCCTCGCTCGACAATAATCAGCGGGACGACCCGAGTGTAGATTGACGCGTATGCGACGAGAGGAAAAGTGGTGAAGTGTGGAAACGACCCGCAGCCGCAGTCGAGAGTTTGCACGAGACGCGCGAATAAGGATCCCGGATCGCGATCGGAGGAGAGAAAGGGAGGATCGAGGAAGGACGAGTGAGTGTTGCGACAAGAAAAACGCAATGTAAATTGGCTGTCGCGATATGCGTACGGTGCACTTCGTACGGTGACGCAATACGAGCGCGAAACTGGCCGGCGGTATGCATGTATTATGTCAGGCGATTACATTAGAATCTAGAAGGAGAGAGAGAGAGGGAGAAGGAGCGGAAGAGAAGCGAAAAAGCGAGGGGGAAATCGATGCGATTATATTCCGATCCTGCGGGAAGCGGGAGCCGAGTAGTTACGGCCGCTGGGAAGCCACCGTGGATTCTCCCGCCCGCGCGTCTGACTCCGCACGACCTTTTCCACTTTCAACTATCTCTCCGGACTGCGCGCGGGCATTCTTCTACGGTGATATGCGAGCTCGCCATATATCTTGGTGGTTTTCAGGTCGTTAGTGACGGGGGCGACGGGTCAGGCGGGGGTAAACGCGACAGGGTCTCTCCGAAACTTTGCAGGATACCGTTTTGCTCGAGGACAGAAGCTTCCTCTCGAACCCAGAGCTTACCCCGCCGACGACCCCGTTTCTCGCTCGTGTCAACATTACGATAAGTTAAATTTCCGAGAAACTCTCAAGTTCGCTCAACGGAATTGTAACCGTTTATTCGCTCGTTCGTTCGTTCGTCCTCTCGCTCGATTGTTTGTAAATTACTGCTCGATCAATCCGCAAGAACCTCGGGGAGATTGTCCGTATGAGCTCTCGAGCTCGTTACATTTGCATTCGCGAATATAGCTTCGCGTTATTCGCGAATCTCTTTTGCAAGTCGAGTCTTATCCGTCTCTCTTTCGCGTTCGATAACTTGCACGGTACCGAAATCGCAAGTCACAGTCGGCCTTTAAAACGTTTGCGATTTAAAAAAGATTGATCGCGGTTTCACGCGCGCGCTTCTCTCGACGATCGTCTCGAAAGCAACACCGAGCCACCGTCGCGCTGTTTGTAAACAGCATCGATCGACGGTTGCCCGGTTTAATCGGATCAGCGGCTAATCCGACCGTTGACGCTTGCTAAACGTTACTTCAATTTTTTAGCTCGCGCTTAATGTCCCTCTCTCTTCTCTTCCCGCAAACCGTCCATCAATCGCGCGATTGCGTTTTTCCTTCTCTATATCCGCAATTTATTTACTCATCAATTTACTCGCGGGCAACTCGAGTTTAACCAAAATTTCAATCAATTGTTTTTTTAAGCGTCTTTTTAAATATATCTATTATATGCATATCATTATGTTAATTTCTCTTTGAAAAAATAAAACAGATTTTTTTCCTTCTCTCTCTCTTCTATTAGTTTCTGTAGTTTTATATTGATATTGAGCATAATTTTTTGAATAATGTATATTATACTTTGTGCTGGTTAGCCAAGTTATAAGATTATAAAAGAAATCATGAGATTAAACTATCCGATAATTCGCCAAGAGTTGATCTTATCGATCGTCGAAAGTTTCTCGCGGAATCGGCCGAAAATCAGAGAAGCTTTTAACTTTTTACTGGCAGAATGGCAGCGCGAAGTGCTGCTGGCCAATGCGTCAATCCCCACGAGTGTACCAACAATAGTCGGAGAATTTAGTAGACGCGAGGTTTCATCATAACATGTCACTGAGAGAGACTGCGTCCGATATAATGCGATATCAACGTCAAATTTATAGCTTTTGCAACATTATTAGGGTAAAACGTTTTAATATATAAAATTGATGTTGATATAAAGTACAAAAGAATTGGAAAGCATGGCTCCGTCGCGTTTTCAATTTTATTATACGTAATGTTACAATGACATTATTATTTTTTACTCCTGTTACACAATGCATAATATTATTTAACAAAAAAAAAATGCAAATGGAGATTGCAATTACATTTTATTTTTATATTGCAGTCACATTTCTCATTTCTTTCTGCTGTTTGTAATATATTTTTCTAGATTCTTTTTATTTTAAATTAAATTTAAAAATAACATGTTTGCCGCTCACCTTTAAGCGTGCAATTTCATCTTTACCGTATAATTACGTCTAGTGCTTTATGCATAAAAATTTCATTAATAGGCTAATAAAATTATTATATTTTTTGTCATAAAAAAAAAATTGATTCGTCAAAAAGATAACCTCGATTTCGGTTCCGCTTTCAAAAGGTTCATTTTTCCAAACGCGACGAACGTTGTATTCGTAAACTTGGCCTATCGGTCCGGCGAATTCCCTTTTCTCTCTTCCTCTCCATCGAATGCCAAGAGGGTCTTGCCGGGACTTTACAGGCACAAAAGCCGCCCTCGCTGCCCGAATGGGGGAAGCGCTTATTCCGTGGAGGACGGTTTCCGGCGCGGCTATTATACGCGCGATCCTACACGTCGCGAATATTGTCCATCGATCCTCGGCTACTAATTTGCCAAATTACTCACATCCACGAGAAAGACGCGCTCGTTAGCGACTTGGATGTAGGCGCCCGTGCCTACGGAATGTACCGCGTGTCACGGGAGACGACGCGGTTAAATTAGGGGACATAAATCGTCCGAGATTAATTTTCAATGGTGCAAACACCACAGGTAGGATTTTCGCGCTAATTTTTCTCCGTCGATCCGAGGGAAACGATCAATTTATTCTACGAAATAAGAAAGACGTATTCTTGCATGTTGATTACGCAAAGTGCAATTTCGATTCGAGTTAATCATACATGTCATGCCTGTTTTTTAATATTATTATCTTGTCATATTACTTCATCATTACTTTATTATTTCTCTTCTAATTATGTCAAACATGTGTAATTTATATACGTAATATTATTGCATATTCGAACAAAGATTTATCGTTCAGAAATTCGTTCACGATTATGTATATTTTATTATTAAAAGCTGTGGATACATGAATCTCTATTTTTAATTGCGTTAAACATGCGATAAATATGATTTATTCATTCGTTATTAAGAATATTTCCGACACTATTGAGATACACAGAAAAAAGGACATTCTTGTTTTGAAAATTTATTTAGTTTTAACATGGAAATCTTGAAAGGGGATTATATTGCGTTAATTAAAGAAAAATATAATTGCTTGAATAATTGCTTACTTGAATGAAGCCATTTTATATAGTTGAATCAAAAAAAATATATTCTTATGATTTAAGATTTAATTTTCTTGAGTGGAAAAGAAACAATGTTAGATAGAAAATAACATTTTTAAATCAAAGATTATAATTTTCTTAAAGTAGAATTAAATAATTATATATTCTTGAGGTGACAATTACAACATTAAATCAAGACTATAATATTATTGAAATTTAAAATTATTAAATTCTTCTAAGAAAATTATAAATTGTTGCTTATATACAATAAACGCATTAATTTAAGTATATAAGTTTTGATTTGACACTTTTTTTCTGTGTATCAAATTTATAACATGTCTCAAACAAAATTTTAATTTTCTAAATACATGAAAGAATCGCTATAATATAATTCGAATCGATAAATCAGCGGGTAACAGACCGTGAATCTCGACGGCGAAATAACGGGGATAATCAAGGATACGACAAAGGATCGCTGGGAAGCGCACGCTAATGCGTTTTCTGGTGTTTCCACCGTGGAACTCTCGGTGAGCTTTGCGTGCACTCGAGTAATTTTGTGTTAATAATCTGTCGGATTCGCCATGCGCCGCGATAATGGCCACTCGTTTCTCATTTTCCCGTCATCGAAGCCTTTCTCCTCTCGAGTTTTCGCCATCCGACGGATTTTGCTCAAGATCTCGCCCCTCCAAATTATATCACCGCGTGCCTCGTTTATCTCTCGTGCCTCCCAACATTTCTTTCCGCTGCCAGATTTAATTTTCTTTAGCGCAAGACGTACGTACGATGAAAAATAGACGGGGGAACTTTCGAAGCTGTCAAGGAAATATATGAAGCGCAAAGTATGACGCGATATCATTATTAATTTATACGCTTTTATAAAATGCATCGCCAAATCTTAGCCGGAAAGAAACTTAATCTTCAACTGACACTTTGACAATCTTACCAACTAATTATCTCTATCCAGCTTCCTACTTTTAACCCTCTATTGTTTTAACAAAGTAATTTCAGATTGAGTGATCGTTACATGCTAAAAGGAACAAAATTAAAAGCATATTAGTTAGAGATAAATTAAAAATAAAAATATTAATTCAAATGAAACAATATTTTAAAATTCATTTATCAAAAACTGTAATTTTGATTCGGAAAAATATAATTGTTTTTCGGCCTCGAATTTCTTAAATCGTGAATCTTTACTTCCCGAACATTGTATGATTACCCTCTGATTACTTTAATCCGCTTTAATGCGTCGCGACTCGCATAAAAGCATCATGCGGCATCGCGCGCGCAATTAAAAGTGGACAAACGCGCTTGCGAGAGAAAGACCGCTGGAGCAGCGCTGGAAATGTCTGGCGAATTTGTATGACTCGTGGTCCGTCTATCCAGCTAACAGTTTTGAGTAATCGCTCTCGCTCCCCTTCGTCTGCCGAATCATCCCTAACCCCGGCGTCGTCGGTCATCACCCTCGCGCGGGTTTCCCGACGCGCACGACCTACCCCGGGGCATTCTTTACTCTCCCATCAACGCGGCGCCCGTCGCACCGTCGTCGTTGTCGTCGCCGTCGTTGTCCTCCAGGGTCGTCCCCAGCATCGAGGCGCACACGCAGGCACTCCTGGAATCTCGTTTGTACATTTATTTTACCCCCTTCGACATTCCCTCTTCCCACCTCCCGTTCTTTCGCTCACTCTCCCTCTCTCTCTCTCTCTCTTTCTTTTTTCTTTTTTCTTCCTTCGATCTCCTCTGCCTCCCCCCGCACTTCCGCCGCTCTTCGATTCGCTGTCGCAGTCGGAGTGGCACGGAACGGCGGGAAATAAATGGCCCCTAATGGATTTCTTAGACGTGCGCTCGCGCGCGGCAGAACTCAGGTGCAGCCAGGAGTGTAGCCCCGGCCCTCCAAAGTACGGCGGAACTCTAAATTACTGGAATCGTTGGCTCTCATCTCATCTCTCCCTCTCTCCCCC